ATGTTTTGAAAATATTTTAAGGGAAAAACACAACACCATGATGTTTTTTTATAAAAACACAACAAGGAAAACACTATGGTATCCAAACGAAACTAAGAGTTTTGTACTTAACAGTGTTTCAGGCGCCCAACTCTAAAACTAGGCTTCTATATGGAGTAGGAACTTGCTAGGCTCGTGATATATTTTTACAATTAGCGTCCACCGGTTGCAATTGTTTGGCGTAGTGAACTTGTTTGATCTTAATAGTTGGTGATGCTGATCTTGATAATACCGAACAAAGCTCCAATACCAGTTTGTTGGGATAAAGTGCAAATGCAAACGGAAACCAACATCAAATAGACTAAAACCAACACAGAAAAGAGTCGACGATCGCAAAAACAAGGATTTTATGTAGTTCAAAACAATCTCTATGTCTAGACAACAACAATGAAAATCTTTCACTAATTGGATGAGAGTACAGATTACATGGATGAGATTAATTGAGATCAAGATTCTTTCTCACAGATAGAAAACTACTCTCTATGTATTCTCCTTTGAGATTTCTTCTTTGAGATTTGTGATTTTCCTATGCTCTTAATCAGAGGAAACAACCCCTTATAGAGCTATTCCCGTGTACAAGGAATCCCTCAACAATCGCAATCAAAATAGGACTCTGATAGCCGAAACGAACTGCGACAGAGTGCAGTAGTAGCACAGGCTGAAGCAAATCCAAAATGGGGCAGGGTGTGCTTAATGCAGACTGTCGTCGCATGACTGAGACTGACCGCTAGTAATGGCCACATGCATCCCTATTGATGTGAGAATTTCAGGCCATAACTTTACACACTAATGGGATCTGCACGTTAAGAAGATCTCGAAGCAACCCAAAAGCTTAGAAAAATTCATGAGGTGGCAAAGATATAGAGAGGCCAACAACCCATTGTGCGGACGTATATTCAGAGGTCGAGATACACTGAGCTGGTCCTGCAACATGTAAAGAGGAAACACAAGGTACTCAAAAAGTAATGATATCGGCATAAATCTGCAGAATCACAAATTTGCAGCCGCCGCACTACAGAATGTAAACACTATGCTAGTAAGGCTCACCTGAACATCAACAACCCATGATGGCTAGTTGGTGTCATTATATTGGAATATCTGGGTATAACCAAAAACTACTGCCAAATAGGTACACATCCTTTAATATTGATAATCTTCGAGAAACAATACTAACGCATTGGAGACGCAGTAACGAAATTAACCTCCAACGCTCACCTCATTTTGCCTGTGATGTACAAACCTTCACGAGCGTGCTATCTAACTAAAATAGTATTGGTGTGTCCAGGTAACAGAACACACTTTAAGCATTTTTCCTTGAACAAGCAAAAGGTCCTCCTCTTTCCATAACTGCAAGTAACTCCACAAACATCATAATTTTAGTCGGTCATTCCTCCTCAAAAAGTCATCAGTAACCTTATTCTGTTGAAGTTACTGACCATTCCCTTGAAAATTCAACGCTATTTTTTTTCTCATTTGAGAGACTTAACCAAATTTTTCCTGAGCTTCAAAGTTTGCACGGTTCTCTTACATTTCAGTTCATTCCACCAGTTGTCTGTGTTTATACGCTGACAGATACAAAATTTATCAGAATATATTGAGGTTAACAAAGAGAGGCTATGGAAGATTTATACATCATTTGCTAAAGAGGTTTTCACTGTTGGGCAAACACGAGCAAGTTTATTCGACCATTGAGCAAGATGGAGGAGCTTGAACTGTGGGATAAATTACTGAGTAGTGGTACAAATCAATGTAACGCCAGGATCATCCTGCCACTCCCATGAGACTGGCTGAATGATATCCCAGTGGTCATGGAACGAATTAGGAGTCACTGAAGGCCAATAAAATCATATGATTCACGAAATGAAAGTAAGATGGCAATCTCTAGGAAAAGTACTTGACACATATATCCAAAGTTTGCTTCCAAACTGGTAGATATTTGTGATATTCGACCAGACTGCTTGTAAATATTCAAAGGAAACAAAGGGAAAGACACGAGGCTTTCTAAGACCTTCAAGGAGGATCCCATAGTATGCTCCTCTCACTGCCTTATATGCTGCTGATGGATACATTGTTCACATGGAAACAGGGCCGGCCCTGGGGTAAGCCCACCAAGCCCCGGGGCTGGGGCAACCCAGGGCCGGGGGGCAACCCACACGAGGCTTTCTAAGACCTTCAAGGAGGATCCCATAGTATGCTCCTCTCACTGCCTTATATGCTGCTGATGGATACATTGTTCACATGGAAACAGGGCCGGCCCTGGGGTAAGCCCACCAAGCCCCGGGGCTGGGGCAACCCAGGGCCGGGGGGCAACCCATTCCGAACGTTCCTATACCCCTCAAACTGTAATTTTCTTTGATTTTTAAAATAGACTTTGTACAAGGGCCTTTATGCAAAAAATGTTAGAGGTTATGTTTGTAAAAGAACTCGACCCCACCTTTTATTTCAGCGATTCCAACTCCAAGTCTCTGACCTCCCGACTCCCGTTCACAAAAAAGAAGAAAAAAAAAAAGAAACCCTCCTCTCCTCGTCCAGTCCCCCTTCCCGAGCCGCCGCCGGCGGCTTCGCTCCTCCCTACCGAGCCGGCGAGCCTCCGAGTCCGTCGACCCGTCCTTCAAGCAGTCAAGCTTCACTCCATCAGGTAAAAATTTTTAACTAAATAATTTTAGGGTTTTTTTTTTGGATAGAAATTTGGGGTTTTTATGTTTTGCAATGAAATTAAGATTTTGATTTTGAATCTTGGTTGAATCTTAGTTGTTGAAGAATTAAATTAGGGGTAATCTTGGTTGAATCTTAGTTGAAGAATTAAATTAGGGGTTATGATATTTTGGAATGATATTGTTTGTTTTAATAATAATGATATTGCTTTAATAATAATGAAATTGGGGTTTGTTTTAATAATAATGATTTTGCAATGAAATAATGTTTGTTTTAATAATAATGATATTGTTTTAATAATAATGAAATTGGGGTTTGTTTTAATAATAATGATTTTGCAATTGAGCTTTGATCTTCATTGCATATTTGGTTTATGCTTTCTACAAAGCTCGGTATCATGTCCAATCAATTTAAATGTGCACAACATTGAGGTTTAAATTCATGAAGAACACGTTGAGAATATATGCTACCAGTTAGACCTTGAATTTTAATATAACTAGGTAATTGAGCAGTCATCTCCACCTCTATCAAGACTCTGTCCTTGATTGATATAATGTTTGTTTTGCAATGAAATAATGTTTGTTTTAATAATAATGATATTGCTAATTGGGAAATTGGGAAGATAAGAGCCGGGTCTGTCCTTCATTGATATTGCTAAGTTTAGTTTATTGTGATTTCATATATGTTATATAATTATATTTACAGACTACAATACACTATGACGGGAGATGACAAAAACCGAGCAAGGATTAGAAAACAAAACTCTGGAGCTCATAATAGAAGAGTCAAGCAACGTCAAGATGAAATGGCAAAATCACTACATGGCTCAATTTCTAAGCTATTCAAAGCAAAAACACAACATTCTCTTCTCTTGAATCAAGTTGAAGAAGCTAGTGCCACTACCAATATTAGTGAAAATATGGATGAGGTCATTGAGGAGCCCATAAATGAAGTCACTTATGCGGATGGAAGTCGTAAGGAGGAAGCTAGTGATGAAGATCATGAAGATCCTGTGAATGAAAATGTTCATGAAAGCATACTTGATCTTGAGAAAGATGTGGAAGTAAATTATGATCCGGGATTGTGGGGAAGTATAAATGATACTAAGAGGGTGATGATAGTTCAACGTGGTCCTATCAAGATTTTAATGAAAAATGATGAGTTTCCAAGTGAAAAGAAGAGTGGGAGAAATAGAAGTTTTTCTTCCAAATATTATATCCGTGAATTTCCAAATGGCGAGAAGCATGAAAGGAAATGACTTGTCTATTCAAATGAACTGAATAGGGTATTTTGTTTTTGTTGCAAGTTGTTCAAGAATAAACCAATGACAACCAATTTGGCGGAGAATGGAATAGACGATTGGCATAACCTTCCTACAAAGCTTAGAGAGCATGAAAGTAATCCGGAGCATTGTGCAAATGTTGTGAAGTGGGTTGACTTGCAAAAAGGACTAAAACTAAAGGCAACAATTGATAAAGATATAGAAGCACAAATTGAAAAAGAGAAAACTCGTTGGAAGATGATACTAGTTCGAATCATTGCGGTTGTGAAGACTCTTTCTCGAAATGGTTTGCCATTTCGTGGAACTAATATAAAGGGCAACCAAAATTAGATTGGGCTAGGGCAACCCAAAGCCCGGGGCCGGCCCTGCACTTATGCATAACAGAAGACAAAACGTAGAGAAAATAAACCTCCTTGTGATTCTCTTATACGTCTAAATATTTCAGACTCCATACAAGAAATTCACATCTCCTTGCATCTGAATAAGCAACGAAATCCGTAAAACGCAATCAAACATCTGAAAATTTTCGACACCCCTGAAATCAGTTAACAACGCGTAGCAACAGATTTGTACGAGCTTACAAGCGCGCGCGGACACCAAACATAGGGTCAATTGCGGATACACCCCCTGCGCTATCACCCAATTGCTGATAGACCCCCGGTAGTTCTGCCTAGGTAAAAAAATTTCTCAGACTCTTTAATCCTAAGAGACCTCCTGACCATCAATGAGTCACTCAAGACTGTTTCACTCACAACTGTCTATCTGCAATCGGGTGATACTACTACAGGACTGTCTATCTGCAATCGGGTGATACTGGGGGCCCTATCCGCAACGAACAACGCCCCGAAAAACACAGAATTAAACATTACCTGAAATCAGAGTCATCGCAAATCCTCTGAGCCTTCCACCCCTTGATCTCCCACCTCGACAGGATGGCGTTCCCGTACTCCGGCGCGATGCAATTACAAGAATAAACGAGCTTATTGTTTTCTTTCAAAAGTTTAGAGAAGATGGTTTTGAAAACATGATGAAAGAAGCCAATGAACTTGCTAATGATGTTGGTATCGATCCGACATTTCCGATAAAAAGAGTGGTTCGTAGAAAGAAGCATTTTGATGAGGATGTGGAAGCGAATGTGGAAGGTAGTCAATCACCGGAGGATAATTTTAGAGTTTCCTATTTCCTCCACATTATTGATCAAGCTCTTACATCACTCAAAGATCGTTTTGAACAATTCGAGCTCTATGAAGAAATCTTCGGTTTTTTGTTTAATGCAAAGTTCATGAGCATTGGTGAAGAAAAATTAATGGAACATTGCATTAGATTACAAAGCTACTTGGAACACAACCAACAATGTGATATACATGGAAAAGATTTATTCAATGACCTACGAGCTTTGCAAACAATATTGCCGAAGGAAGTGACTAAATCAATAGACATCCTTGACTTCATAAGATCTTATTGGGATGATGGTGGCTTTCAATGTGCATGGGTTGCTTATCGGATTTTGTTAACTATCCCAGTTACGGTTGCCTCGGCGGAGAGAAGTTTTTCCAAGTTGAAATTGATAAAAAGTTATCTTCGTACTACCATGTCACAGGAACGATTGAATGGATTGGCAATGATATCAATTGAAAATGAATACTTAGAGAAACTTGAGTATGATGACTTAATTGAAGAATTCGCTTCAAAAAATCAAGGAGAAGTATTTTTCTTTGAATTAAATTGTAACACAAATGTAATCTCTTCTTATATGAATATTGATTTTGCATGATAATATTATCAGTTTGAGCCCAATATAGAACGCTAAATTGTATTATATGTATTCATTTTTATCGTTATTGTTCGTACCAAATTTTTAATATAAAGGGCAACCAAAATTAGATTGGGCTAGGGCAACCCAAAGCCCGGGGCCGGCCCTGCATGGAAATTTCATGCAAAGGATTCATTACGAAGGACGGATCTCTTGACTGTGAAAATTGGATATTGTTGCTCCTGGTATGGAACTATCAGCATATTTAAGGAACAAATTACACAAGTACTAACGCAGTATATTTTTTGGTTATGAGAAACTAGGCTTATTTTCTATGAGACTGGAGTGGGTTCAGACTTTGGATCTTTGGACTGGAGTAGGCTGAATAACTGTGCAAGATCAGCGTCCACTGGAGTGGGTTCAGACTTTGGATCTTTGGACTGGAGTAGGCTGAATAACTGTGCAAGATCAGCGTCCAAGGATGTACAACAGCTACACTCAGGAGATTTACAAAATTCCCTTGTTCAATTATGTCCATTTTCTACCAAATAGTCCATCAAATGTAACTCCTGGATCTTCGCTAAACTGCATTGAGCCAAGATGATTTCCATGACATTGACCAAATGATATCCCAGCGGTCATGGAACAACATTAGTAGAGTAGCTGAACAACACTAAAATCAACGATCATGAATATAAGATGACCATCCATAGAAACATTATATGACAGCAGATAGATATATGCATGGTTCAGTTCCAATTTGGTTGATGGTAATATTTATGAAGATTTTATAATGATTTTTCTGCAATATGCTCATCTCACTGCCTTGGATGCTGACAACTACTACTTGTCTGGATGTCTGGTATATCTCAAGGAAAAGCATTCCGGCAGATTCTCTAACAAATTGTTCCAAAAGATTCATTCAGTTAGGACTGATTTCTTAACCGTCAAAATAGAATATGGATGCTCCTGGTATGCAACTCTCAACACTACTTAAGAAGCAAATAGTACTGAATCATTATAAAATCCACAATTTGGATTAAGAAGCAAATAGTACTGAATTCAACAAATTGCCTTAGCATATATTTGGAGGTTAGAAGACTCGATGATTTCTGTTCAGAAATATACAAATAGGGGTATCTATACACATGCTTATTCAACTCGCTCATTGTTAATATCTCATTTTATGAAATATTTATGAAGCAAATCCTTTTGTGCGTCAATGACCCATTACAGTAGCATCATGCAATTTTGAACTAACGAAAGATCCATTTATTCAAATTTAATGTTGGGCATTTAATGAATTGGGGGTCTTTCAATCAGTCTGCCGTCTTTGCAGCAAAGAATGCAAACTTGCTATATAACTGACAATATAACCAAGCAGAACTAGAACAAGGTAGGCTTATAGAAATACCATTGGAAACTACTACTACTTCATATTGGCAGGTTAGCTCAATTTGCAGCTTAACAGTATGAACTCCCCAGCTATCATTGTCCTTTCATCCACTGTCCCACGATCTTTTATATCTTGCCTACACACTTGGTCGGGAAACCTGGACATAATGGAAAAAGGATCGAGTACTCGAATCAGGTTATGGCAATGGCAAAGAATAAATAAACTTCACAGCTGAAGCATCGCTCGCATTTCCTGGTCATCTGTGAGACTGTCAGTCCTCATAATAACTGGAACCATGCTCACTCAAGTTTTTTTGAAAAAATTTGGTATTCGGTCTCGTGTATGAAAGAATTAGGAGGAAGATCCAATGAAGTAATGAGATTGGAAGAGAAAGGGTAGGCAAGAGCTCAGGAAGTGGTTTCCTAGGCTTCTCTACCCATAGGAAAGGTTGCATTCTCCTGATCTGTCATTGCTGTGACGGTCAGATATTTCCCGACAAAAATGCTATAGTTCAACTACTTTATAGTGGAGTTGAAAGGCTCAGAGCACTTGTTGAATTCAGAGGAAGAATAACAATCAAAATATATTATTGAAAAAACAAAATCCACAATTTCACATAAACAAATGACAATGACAATGGTGAGAAAAAGAATGGGCAAAAGAACTAAAAAAAGCTTTCTATCCTGAATCTTCTATTTGTGAACCAACAAATATCCCATGACCTAACCCTTAGCTTCTGCTCCTCCACAAGCAAGATTAGGAGTTGGGTCTAATTGATTCCAAGAACTGAACCACCTCGGCCATGCTTGGCCTCTTCGATGAAACATCTGAAGTACAAACCAAGCCCATCTTGAGAACCTGAATTAGTTCTGCCTCTACGAATCCTCTCAACCTTGTGTCAAAGCAACCAGACACAGTTCCATCCTCCAACACTCTCCTCACATAATCTCTCAAAATCACAACCTCTGCAGCTCCTGGACTCTCCACCGGCTTCCTTCCCGTTACTATCTCCAATAGAATCACCCCGAAACTATAGACATCACATTTATCACTATACCTCAGGCTCTGAGAAGCCAGCTCTGGTGCTACATAACCTATTGCAGTGTGAAACTTTGTCAATGCTCGGTTGCCCAAAATAGGCAACAAATTTATAAGTCCATAGTCAGATAACTTGGCTTCAAACTCTTCATCCAGTAATATGTTGGTAGATTTGATGTTTAGATGTAAGACTTGAGGCTTGCAGTCATGGTGGAGATAGGCAAGAGCTCTTGCTGTACCAAGAGCTATATTGAACCTCCTTGACCAAAAAAGCTCACCCCTTGCTCTGCTGCTAGTGCTGCCCGAATATCGATAGCCATGGAGATGGTGATAGAGGTTATTGTTCAGCACAAACTTGGATAGAATTAGTTGGGTGGTTGAAGACCAGTAGTAGCCTTGAAAGGCTACTAAATTTGGGTGCCTCAAACTTCCAAGTCTGCTCATTTCATGCTCAAACTCCTCCTGGTTCCTGATTCTCCCAAGGGTCTCTAGCTTCTTCACAGCAATAGAAACCCCACCTTCAAAGGTTGCTTTGTACACTGTTCCAATGGAGCCGCCGCCAATGAGGCAGTCCTTATCGAGGAGTGCCTTGGTTCCAGCCTCCCAATCTTCATACTTCGCTGGCAAGCTCTTGCTGAAAAGAACCAATTTTCCAATTATCGCACCCGAACCATTCGAACCTGGAGCAGTGCTCTCAGAGATCAAGATCTCAGACTCCTCTTCCTCTCTTTGCCTTTTTCTGTAAGCCAAAATGTTGATGATCGAAATAATGCAGACCCCAGCAAGGATCACAGCTGCAGCAACAATAGCAACTATGGCAGTAACACTCAGCACTCTAGTTCTCTTTGACACTCCCGGACAGACAGCGTTCAGCGGAGGACCACAGAGGAATGGATTGTGAGAGAATGACGAGGCATTGAATTTTTGGATTGTGGGTGACAAAGGGATAATTCCAGTAAGATTGTTGTAAGAGAGATTGAGATGGGTCAATGAGGTTAGTTTTCCGAGCGAAGCAGGTATTTCTCCGGTGAGTAAATTCTCAGAAAGATCGAGAAATTCGATATGGGTAAGATTGCCAAGGACATCAGGGATGGTTCCATTGAGCCGGTTGTGATGAAGGTCAAGATGTTTGAGAGAAGCCATGTCGTAGATATTCCCTGGGATTCTGCCATCCAACCCATTGCCTGATAAATCCCTGCACAACTCAAAACTCTGTAAATTCAATTAGAATTTCTTCCAAAGATTCAATCTATATAATTCATTTCGAGACTCACAGTTCGAGCAGAAACTGGCATTGGCCCAATGTGGCAGGAACCTCACCAGACAGTTGAAGATTGTTCAGGTCAAGAACCATAAGCATAATGATACCTCCAAGCTCCGCCGGAATTTTGCCATTGATATCATTATTCCCCAACCTAAGAATGGAAAGAGACTTCAATGACCCAATCCCTGATGGTATCTGTCCACTCAACTGATTAAACGCTAAATCTAACAACGTCAAGCCCTTGCAACCAGCAATGCCGGAATCAATCTCTCCACTCAAATCATTTCGCGAAGCATCAATGTACTCCAAATTCTGGCTGCAGGTTCCCAAACCTGGAATCTTCCCATTGAAGTCGTTCGAGGACACGTTGAAGTAGCTGAGATTGCTCAATGCAAGCAGACCGAAAGGGGCCTCTCCCGAGAACAAATTACCGCTAAGATCAATAAACTGCACGCTCCGACAACCCCCAATCTTATCTGCCACGGTCCCCGACAGCGAATTGCTCCTCAAAGATACAAAATTGATAGCCGGTGGGCTGCAGATCTGTGGCGGGAACCCACCACTGAGATTATTGAAGGAAAAATCGATTCCGTCGAGGTTCAAACAGTTGGCGATCGAAGTAGGAACCGGACCCGAGAGCTTATTGTGCGAAAACGAGACAAACCTCGTCTTAAAGCAGTTCCGGAACAAGTTCGCCGGAATCCCGCCGGAAAACGAGTTCCCACCAAGATCTAGCAGCCTGAGGCTAGGCCAGTCGCCGATGAAGTCAGGAATCGAACCAGAGAAGTGATTTCGACTAAGATTAAGCTTGAAGAGGGTCCCGATGGCGGCGAACTCGTCGGGTATGCCGCCGGTGAGGTTGTTGTCGAAGAGCGAGAGGATCTGGAGGGATCGGAGGCGGGAGAGCGAAGGGTTTAAGGTTCCGGCGAGGCGAGCGCTGTGGATAAGGATCTTGTCGACATTGCCGGCGAGATGCAAGGACGCCGCGGAGTCGCGGCAGGGTGAGGGAATGGGACAGGAGGCGTATTTCGGGCTGTCCGGTGGGCGGTCGCTGCTGACGTTGGATTTGAAACTGAGAGATAGGATGGTTTCTCCGTTGTCGTCGCGGCTGAAGGATGAGAACGACGGCGCCATAACAGCCAGGGAGCAGACAGAGGAGGAGAGGTTGTTGATTTCATGGTGCGGTCACCGCCGGAGTGAGCGTTGTCGACATTGTTTGATGGTTTTGTATTCTTAGTTAGGTAGAGAGTTGCCTGTGGGGATATTCATTGGTGTTTAATGCTGAGGAGCGTAGCTTTCCTCGGTTTTTTTCCCCCAACTGCTGCTACTAACCTCTCTCAATGCGGGGGGAGAGAGAGAGAGAGAGAGAGAGGAAGCTGCGTTTGGGAAGTGTGTGGACTTATTAGAATGAGGACAGTGTGGGCCATGTGGGCTGTGTTAAGTGGGGATGAGGTTTTATGTAACTGCGGATGTTTTTACGAGAATTATTATGTGCTATAGAAGAATATATAAAGAAAAAAATAAGCACAGAAATAAAAGCGGTTGTCCGAGAGACGAGACGTGGGGGAGTAGATTCCCCCTTGAATCTGATATTTACTACTGCGCTGTTGGAATCTTGTTTCATGCGGGTTTAAACAAAAGGAAAATGGTGTCAATCCCCCAAAAGTAAAATCTTAATATGCCAAAACCTTTTTTATCTTTTTTTCCATGTGGTTTAACCCTTAAAATACAACATTATGTTAAGTCTAGTTTCATGTTAAGTTCAGTTTATCATGTTAAGTCTAGCTAGTTTCATGTTAAGTCGAGTTTATCTTGTTAAGTTCAATTTTGGTTCATGTTAAGTCTAATTCATGTTAAGTCCAGTTTTGGTTTATGTTAAGTCTAGTTTCATGTTAAGCCCAGTTTGATCCGTATTAACTCCAGTTTGGTCCGTGCTAAGTCCAATTTAAATCATTTTAAGTCTAATTTAAATCGTTTTAAGTCTAATTTCATATTAAGTCTATTTTGATTCATGTTAAGTCCAATTTAATTTTTTAAGTCTAATTTATATCATATTACGTCTAATTCAACTTATTTTAAGTCTGAAAAATAAGTTGAATTAGACTTAACATGAATCATGTTAAGTCTATTTTAATTTATTTAAGTCTAATTTAAATCATGTTAAATTTTTTTAAGTCTAATTTAAACCATGTTAAGTCTAGTTTAACTTTTTTAAGTCTAATTTTATGTTAAGTCCAATTAAATTAGACTTAAAATAAGTTGAATTAGACATAACATGATTTAAATTAGACTTAAACTTAAAATAAGTTGAATTAGACATAACATGATTTAAATTAGACTTAAAAGGAATTAAATTAGACTTAATATGAATTATAGACTTAAAAGGAATTAAATTAGACTTAATATGAATTAAATTGGACTTAACATGAAATTAGACTTAAAATAAGCTGAATTAGACTTGAAACAAATTGAATTAGACATATCATGATTTAAATTAGACTTAAAAGGAATTAAATTAGACTTAACATGAACTGAATTAGACTTAATATGAAATAGACTTTCATGTTAAGTCTAATTCAACTTGCTTTTAAACTTAACATGAAAGAATAGAGGAGATAAGGACATTTTGGGGTTTTTTACTTTTTATTCCCTCTCTATGCTTAGTTGGTATGTAATAATTGCTAAAGAAGGGTTGCAGAACATAGAATTTTTGCTTTTGGGGCTAAACCACATGAAAAAAAAGTAGAGGAGCTGAAGCACATGAAGTTTTTTACTTTTGAGGCATTGGCACAATTTTTCCTTAAATATAAAATCTCTACTGTCAATTTTATTTCAGAATCTTAATTTCTTCTTTGATTCTGAGTTGACAGTTTAACATATTTGGTATTTTTTTAATAAAGTCCCTTAAATCTTTCAATTCCCTTAAGTCATCGAAATTACATAAGAATTGAAGGACTTAATAGCAACTTCCATGATTTGGGGACAAATTCATAACGTTCAAGATTTAAGGGACGAATATAGAAGAAAAAGGCCCTCTATTTTTATTGGTCAGGAGAAAGAAGAATACGAAGAATGTATAAAAGTAACCTAAAACTTGAATAATTGCAAAACAACTTAAGATTGAGGGACCTAGTAACAATTTCAATGATCTGTGGGACTAATTTCAAATATGAAAGATTAAAGGAAATATTCACACAAAAAAAAACCCATTTAAAGTATGAAGTAGATATGATCTAGAATCTTTATAACAAGAGAACAAGAACGCATGTCGAAATTTACATTGCTCCAATTTAAATACAAAACAGAAGAAGTTAAGAGTTCTATCTCCTTCACTCAAACCATTAATTTTGATTACAGTGTTTTTATATACTGTGGCCGAAATTTACACTAGTCTGATTCATATATGTTTTCGTGTAACTATTGTGATACATCTTTGCTGTGAAAAGAAAGAAAGGAAAAAAAAAAAGGATTTCAGTTGTAATGCAAGAGGAGGAGCATTTATATATGAGAAAAACATCTATTACTATTATTTAAGAGATTTATTTTTGTCCCCATGCTAGTAGGGGAGCATTCCAGATAGAATATGACACTTATCATATCTATATTCGCTTTTCAAAAATGAATACAATCACGGATACAGATATGAGTCGGTTAGAAAAAGTAAAGATCATATTCGCGCTGGCCTGTTTGTTTGCACGGAAGTAATTATGAAGTAGCTGAAGTAAAAGAAGTAAAAGCTACTTCTGCTACTTCCAAGCAAAAAAATGTGTTTGGTTCTCTGAAAAACTTACTTCCAATACTTCCCTAAATGCTTATGTGGCGCCTACGTGTCATCCTTACTTCCAAAATATTTTTTCAATCCTTAATACCCAGAAGTAGCTCGGAAGTAGCTGAAATGCATATTAATTAGGACATAAATAAATTTTTTTTATTAATATTTCCTTTATTAGTTACTTCTAACAACTTTTCAATGATAAAATTACTTTCTAGTAATATTTCTAAATGTTATCCAAACAAAAAAAAAAGTAAATGAAGAGGAAGAAGTTCTACTTCTATTACTTCTAAAAATATATGAAACAAACAAAAAAATGCTATTTCCACTACTTCCTACTTCATAGCTTTGAAAGTTACTTCGATAACCTACTTCTTACTTCTAATACTTCCATTATCCAAACGGGCCCTAAACAGAAATGGATACGGTTTGGATATCAGAGAATCAGATACGGTTATGATCACAGATACAGATAGGATATTTAGGAAACGTATATGACTCAGACATATGTCGAATATGACAAAAAATGTATAATCACATAGAATAAGATAATACATATAGATGGAATCATATATCTAATTTAAACCTTGAACAAGTGCCTATACTATAACAGCCTCATTTAGCTTATAGCACTAGGATTTTAGTGACGCGGTGGAGGGTAGTGGGGAAAATGCAAACTGCAATAAGTAATATGCGAATCAAATATATAGCATGTTTGTTTGTAGCCTAGTGGTTAGGCTAATTACTTTATAACTAAGTGGCCAAGGTTTGAACCCTGGCAAATGCATTAGTTATTCATATTTCTTAAAATGAACATCCGTATATCCGAACCGTATTCGAGTAAAAGGGAAAAATCATATATGAAACCGAATCCGTATCCGGTCAGTTTTAGATATTGGCTACCCTATCCACATTAGGGGTGAGCACGGTTCGGTTCGGGTCGGTTTTTACTAAAATTTGAACAACCGAACCGAACCACCTACAATTCAAAACCGAACCGAACCATTGCAAATCGGTTCGGTTCGGTTCGGTTCGGTTTGTTCGGTTTTAACTTCATCAAGTATAACTTTACTTTAATTTATCTTTTATATATTCTTATTACCCTATGTCAGCATGTATTTATTTTTTAACTTTACTTTAATTTATTATTCTTGCTCATGTATGTATACTGTTTTTAAGTGAAGTAACTTGTCCTTTTGGATTAAATACTAGACTCTAACGTTGTAATTTTTTAGTAACAGACTTGCTTTGTCTTTGGGTAAACGGGTAGGGTTTGAGGCAAGGGAATATATTCGGTTGGTTCGGGTCGGTTCGGTTTGAAAAATTGTCAACCCGACCCGAACCGTCTTACTCATAAAACCGCTTTTTTCGGGTCGGTTCGGGTCGGTTCGGTCGGTTTTTTCGGTTTGAACCGAACCGTGCTCACCCCTAATCCACATCACTATCGGATACGGTTGCAGTCAATTCGGATATATTCAAACCATTTAGCAGCCCTACATACATGAAGTCAAAAATCCTCACAATTAATACATAGTTTTAGGTAGATGAGATAAACTTGGAAAATTTAAAATATTACCCCTCTAACAGTATCCCTTCTATATTCTTCACAACCACGCCAATTCGTCCCCACTAACCCTCTTTCATCTCCCATTTACCCCTCCATCCCTCCCACTTCCTCATAATTTTAACGTAAGGTTTGGATTGAGTATATGGGCATAGCGAACACAATAAATACTAGTACACTTTTAACTCAATATCTAAACTTCGTTCTATTACCACAGTAAAGCCTCCAACAACTTGTTCAATGACGGGGATAGTTGTGAAATTTTTTAATGATTTATTAGCAATTCGCTCTTAAACTTTATATTCTCATATGTGAAATAAAAAAATGTAAAAATACGTTAAAACAAAGCAAGAGATCACCTTCTTTTTTTTAACAAATTTCAAACAATTAAAACGGTGGTTGTGTAGCAAATCATTTATCAAGATTTATTTATTTATTTTGAATATAATATAATCCAAGGACCTAGGAAACCAAATTAATTATAATCCACTTAATTCGTTACTAATTTTTCTAAATACTTTTCTCTTTCCGGTAAGCATGATTAGTTATGATGATACCCTACTTTTTGCTCTAGCACGCAACACATGATCCTCAAAGATAATAGTCACACCTTTTCTGCTTGGGTTCCATACTTTCAAGCTTTCTGCTAGATGACAGGTAGGATGGTCAGCTTTGTTCCTAATTAATTAAACTAACAAAGGACTAGGTTATCAAGTTTAAAAAACAATAAGAAGAGAGCAAACACAAAGAAAGAGAAAGTGTTGATGTGGGAAATTTAGTGTGGGGATTGGGAGAGGA